AGGAGACCCTTCCAGCCGTCGAGGTACTTGTACCTCGCCGGCTGGAAGGAAGCCCTTCCAGCCGGCCCTTTAGAGGGCGGGTATCCGAGGATACCCGCTCGGATACCCGCTGCGGCCGACGGATACCCGCCAGCGGGTGCGGATGCGGATTCGGATGCTCAGATGGCCGGAAAAAGCAGCCGGATATCCGCATCCGCGCGGATATCCGGATGCCAATCGACCATCTCTAAGCTCGGTAGAGTTCTTCCCTCTCCGGTGCTAGGTATGTCTTCATCACCGTTCATTCTCATTCTCCTTGTCGGCCTCGGAAACGCCTAGTCACCAGTCAGGCACCTACTCACTTCTCACAACCTTTGGAATAGCCTTGTAGCCATTTGAATAGCCTCACAGCCATTGGAATAACCTTCCAACCGTCAGAATCAGCTCCTAGCCTTCAGAATAGCCTCATAACCATTGGGGGTATCCTCACAACTATTGGAGTAGCCTCATATTCTTTGGACAGCCTCCTTATTGTTTGTACAGTGTCATTGCCATCGATTCACCGCCGTCAGATTAGTCCATCACCGTAGGATCAGCCTCATTGCCTTTGGATAATCCTTGTCATTGTCAGAAGGTCCTTGTCGCTGTCAGAAGGTTCTTGCTGCCATTGGAAGGTCTTCTTTTTTTAATCTGGTTTGATTGGGTCTTGTCAATCTTTAGCTACCCCAAAACAAAAGGCAGCCTGGTTGAAAGCCAACAATCAATCAAGTCTATATCTACCCTCTGATTGGCATTGGTCAATAAACAAAGCCACCTGACATTACTACCCTCTAATCAACACATGATTAAACCAGCATTATAGATACACCACGGGTGCAAGAAAAGTTCTTGTGAACCAGATCTCCAACTTTTTTGAAAAAGTTGGTTGATCAAGTGGTTCGCTCAACTGTCTGGCCCGAGAAAAGTTGCGAGAAAGGTTTTAAGCCGGTCCTCTAACCTTTTCGACCAGGAATGTTTGGAATTTGGTTAGATTACATCGCTTCAACTTTTGGAATGCAAAAAGTTAGTAATCCGGATTACCAACTTTTGAAAAGTTATCAACACCAATTGACCAACTTTTGAAAAGTTATCAAGAGGTTTCTCATTCCTTTTTTGAACCTTTTGCTGGTCTCGTGTCTGATCCATCCAGAACTTGTGGACTCAATCAAAAAATCTCAAAGTCCCTTGTCCCCTCATCGCTGCCTCTTGAAACCCCCTCCGAGATGTCTTCTCACCACAACTTCACAACCACCACGCCGAAGATGCCTGTTGAGAAGATTACCGCCGATTCACCAAGCAAGTTGCCCGATAAGAATAGCTTGGCACCGGTGATACCAACTACGCCTGCGGCAAGGATCCAGTCGGAAACCCCCGGCGAGATGGTTCCTGCCCGACCCATCGAACATTCAACTGAGGCAACCAAGCAACCGACTGCAGCCCCCAAACCTTCCACATTGCGGCTCCTTATCCGCTACGACCCGTGGATCGTGGATACGATCCTGCAGCTTGCTAACCCGGACATTGGTAAGCAGGCACTCGGATCTTTTTCCAAACCCAATGCTTTACTTGGATGTCACTACCCGGTCGATCTCGTATAAGACCTTCCAGGATAAAGTTTCAAGCTGCTTAAGACGATCCTGCAGATCA